ACACTACTTTATAAAAAATATAAATAAAATAATTTTTTTTTTTTGGTGTTTTGTGAACAGTGTCACACCAAATATGGTGTGACACTGTTCACAAAACACCAAAAAAAAAATTTGGTGTAAAATTTGCAGTTCTATTAGAGATGAAACTACACCAAATTTGGTGTTATGGAGTTCCGTTGGAATTGCTCTTATAATATATCAAATGTTTTTTTGTTATTTTTTATGGTGGAATGATTTTTTTTTTTATGGTGGAATGATTTTCTTAATGACTTAATTACATCGAATCTCCGAATTTACATATCGAATTTAATGGTCATAGTATATTATTTTGCCATTAGCTATTTTATGTAGACGCTAGAAGCCTCGTGACTCATAAGTTCGACGTGATATCTCATTTATACCCATATTTCATGTTTGATACTTCTTCAATTTCAAAATTTAGATTGTTTTGGTTAAAAATGCGAATATTAAAATTAAAAAAAATATATATATTTTCTCCGTTTCATAATGTAAGTTGTTTTAGAAGTTTTTATTTGTTTCAAAATATAAGTTGTTTTAATAATCTTAGTTACTTTTTAACTTTATTAAACATTGTGTAACCACTAATATTTTACAGTCTTTTGTGTGATTGGTCCAATTATTTTTATTAAATATATTAAATGATACTTTTTTACAAAAAAATAATTTTTTAATATTCGTGATTTAAACTAAAACAACTTATATTTTGAAATAGCGGGAATATTATTTTATATATAATAAAAATAATTTAAGCATAAAAAAGCAACTGTAACTACTATTGATCAAACAATAGTCAATAAAATTAAAAAGTATTTAAAATTATCAAAACAATTTATATTTTAAAACATAAAAAACTTTCAAAATAACTTAGATTTTAAACAGAGGAAATAGTATCAAACACCGTCCGTTGCCGTATTGATCGATGGAAAAAATGACGATGAAGCTAAACATGTAAGGCTTCGGAATATTACTTATGAGTTTGACATATAGAGATCGCAATTGATCAAAATATTCACACTGATCAAAAGATGCAGATAAAGAAATCCAGTTTCTTATTGGGACCCTTCATCTTGTTGTTTCGCAAGTTATCTATCGAATCCTAACATTT